TGTGTCTCAGTGATGGGAGGCTGGCATTTGTCTTTAAGTGTCAGGTAAATGCCTCCCACCCCAAAAGCTGAATGTTTGGTTGATCTCCAGTGTCCAATTAGATAAAACTTCTTAAGAATGTTGCAAATAACCTTCCTTATCAGTTTCTAGCCTGATAATTCCCTTTCATATCATTCTGAAGGTTCATTATAAGTATATATCATCCTAATCAAAAAACCATGTGCCTCTTTCTGGTTTTAGAGTTCTTTTACCAGCATCTCATGGTATAAGTTTCAAATATGCTCAGAAAAAAACTCTTCTGTACCCATATGCCTGAGATTTAAAAGCCCAGTTACAAAGAGGGATGTTTGAGTGATCGGAACTAGGGATGTCAATGTGTAGTCGAGTTCACAATTAATTGATAAACCTAGGTTTATCGGTTAATTTTATTGACTAAATTATTTTATTATATATACACATCTGCTATATAGGGGCAAGAGGGAAATAGGGATGTAATAGTGTAGTCGATTAACTGATAAGCAAAAGCTTATAGGTTAATACTATTGACTACATGAATTTCCCTCCCCCCTCCCTTGCCAGTAAATTTTTTTTTGCAGGCTGGCTAGCAGCCCGGCTCAGTCTTGGCTCAGGTCGGGTCCAGGACCTACCCCCACTGCGGCTCTGCATTGAAAGTGTATTATGAGCCAGGTGGTCAGGCAGCCCAACTCAGTTCTGGCTTGGGCTGGGTCCAGGAGCTCAGATGGGCTGCTGCCTCTTTATCAGAGGTAGCAGCACAGGGCGACAGGTAGTCAATTTGCAAGGGGGAGCTGTTTTTTAAATTGTCTCCCCTTGTGGACTAGCTCCTGCCTGGCACCCTGTGTTGCTGCCTCTGATACAGAGGCAGCAGTGCAAAGTGGCAGAATGCTCCCTGGGAGTGAGGCTGGAGTGCACTGGCTGCTGGCCTTCCCCCGGGAACTAAAATATAGTCAACTAACCAATAAGAATTTGTGTGGTTACTCAACTATTCAATTAACCAATATTTAATATCCCTAGAGGAGAAATGAAAGCCTTATTTAGAGTTGTGGAACCCTTATTACCTTCAGATTAGGAATTCACTGACAGCTGAGCAGGCCACTTTTCTATCACTGGGTTTGCACTAGTGCCACTGATTGGTGATAATTAAACAATTTTCTTGATGATGTAAAAGGAGACTTCCCTCTTAGCCTTACCAGATCTGTGGGCTCTTCTGTGTGAGTCCATCTGTGAGGCAGCATCCATATCCAGCATAGGTGTGCATTTATATGAATATGTATACATTTATATGGATTTAAGAATTCAGTTATTTTCTTACTTTGTATGTTCTAAAGAACAAATCCAACTGCAATTGAGACACTGGACAGTGGTTAGAGAAAAGCAACATGATGTTTCAGATATACTGAGCCAAAGGAGCCATTTAACCCACTATCGATCCTTTTCTTCTTAGCTTGCAGAGCTTATTTTACCAGCCACCTTTGACACCTTGTGTGATGGAGACAATTCTTACAATGAAATTGTCATTATAAATAGATTGTCAATAATCCCCTTCATCTGGATCATAACAAATTCTCTTACTAAGCTGGAGAGAAATATCTCTTAGCAAAAACTTTAAATCTAAGCTCCCAGACCAGCAAGCAATTCCTTGAAGAAAAACGTCCTTTTGTTTGTTTTAAACCTGCTACCTATTAATTCCATTTGGTGACCCCTAGTTCTTATATTAGGGAAACAAGTAAATAACTTTTCCTTATTTACTTTTCCACATCAGTCATGATTGCATAGACCTCTATCATATACCCCCTTAGTCTGCTATTTTTCTAAGCAGAAAGGTCCGAGTCTTTTTAATCTCTCCTCATATGGGACCTGTTCCAAACCCCTCATTTTTGTTGCCCTTTCCTGAACCTTTTCCGATGCCAACATATCTTTTTTTTGAGATGGTGACCATATCTGTAGAAGCATTCAAGATGTGGGTGTACCATGGTTTTATATCAAGGCAATAAGATATTCTCTGTCTTATTCTCTATCCCTTTTTAAATGATTTCTAACATTCTGTTTGCTTTTTTGACTGCTGCTGCACACTGAGGGTATGTCTAGAAAGCAGGGCTATCAGGGTTATCCCAAAATAGCTACTCTGCATCTTTTAAATGCACCTGTTATTTTGAAATATTTTTTGAAATAACAGGCGTGCTATTTCGGCATCCCTTTAAACCTCTTTCCACAAGGGTAAAGGGATGTGTTGAAATTTGAAATTTGGCACTGTGTAGATGCACCCTGAGGGATGTTTTCAGAGAACTATCCACAATGACTCCAAGATCTCTCTCTTGAGAATTTGTAGCTAAATTAGTCCCCATCATCTTGTATGTATAATTGGAATTATTTTTACCAATGTGCATTACTTTATATTTATCAGCATTAAATTTCATTTGGCATTTTGTTATCCGATCACTTCGTTTGGCAAGATCTTTTTGAAGCCCTTCACAGGCTGCTTTGGTCTTAACTATCTTGAGCAGTTTAGTATCATCTGCAAATTTTGCCAGCTGACTGTTTACCCCTTTTTCTAGATAATTTAGAAATAAGTTGAATAGAATTCGTCCCAGGACAGATCTGTGGGGGACCCAACTAGTTACCTCTCTCCACTCTGAAAACTTACCATTTATTCCTACCTTTTGTTTCCTGTCTTTTAACCAGTTATCAATCGATGACAGGATCTTCCCTCTTATCCCATGACCACTTACTTTACTTACGAGCCTTTGGTGAGGGACCTTGTCAAAGGCTTTCTGGAGATCTAAGTACACTATATCCACTGGATCCCCCATGTCCATATATTTGTTGACCACCTCAAAGAACTCTAGTAGATTTGTAAGTCATGGTTTCCCTCTACAGGAACCATGTTGACTTTTCCACAACAAATTATGCTAATTTAGGTGTCCAACAATTTTATTCTTCAATATAGTGTCAACCAATTTGCCCAGTACTGACACTAGATTTACCAGTCTATTATTGCCAGGATCACCTCTAGCCCTTTTTAAATATTGGTGTCATATTAGCTATGTTCCCGTAATTAGGTACAGAAGCCTATTTAAAGGATAAGTTACAAACCACAGTTAACAGTTCTGCAATTTCACATTTGAGTTCTTTCAGAACTCTTGGGTTAATGCCATCTGGTCTTTGTTAAGATTATCAGTTTGTTCTGAAACATCTAATGACACCTCAATCTGGGACAATTCCTCAGATTGGTCACCTAAAAAGAATGGTTCAGGTTTGGGATTCTCCCTAACATCCTCATTCGTGAAGACTGAAGCAAAGAATTCATATAGTTTCTCTGCAATGACCTTATTATCTTTGAGTAATTCTTTAGCACCTTGATCGTCCAACGCCCCCACTGGTTCTTCCTACTTCTGATATACTTAAAGAACATTTTGCTATTACTTTGAGTTTTTGGCTAGCTTCAAACTCCTTTTGGGCTTTTTAAAATTATATTTTTACAGTTAATTTGACAAGAGTTTATGCTCCTGTTTTCCTCAGTAGGATTTGACTTCCAGAACAGGTAATCATCAAGTGATCCATCCCCTTTCCTCCACTCCCAGCTTCTGGCAAACAGAGGGTAGGGACACTCAGAGCACGGAGTTGCTTTTAGCTTATTGTTGCTTTGTGAACACTGCTGTATGTCTCTAATACCCTACTCAGTCAGTGTTCAGGGTTATAAAGATACCACCAGATAGGTCTCAATTGTCTTGAGGCAGATAAATGGCTCTTTGGTTTCAATGACTGGACCAGTTGCAGTCTGAGCACAGGAGCAAGTCTTAATTCTACCCTGGGCTTCACTAGCATGTACAGCATGGGCCAAATCCAGGACTCTGTTTGTACCTCCCTAGGACTGAGTAAAATTCCAATTGAAATCAATGCAAGGTTTTCCTGGCCAAAAATTGAAGGCCTCATCTTCTATGGCCATAATGGGGAATATTCCCCCCCCCCCCCCCCCACACACACAGACACCAGAATGCCATTTTATGGAATACCCCACTTCCCTCCCCTTTTCCACCCACTTCATTTGACAGGAGTGAATTTCACAGATGAAATTTGTCTATACTAGAGGTTTTGCTCTTGTTGTAAGTGGGGTTAATTGATCTCCAGTTAACCATGCAACTTTAAATGCCAATGCATGTTCTCCATTTTTCCAGTTCACAACTTTTTCTGATCCACTGTAGGCTGAGCCCAGAGGGGAATCCCAAACATTTGATTTCTGGAGTGAACAGCAGTGCAGTGTCTGGGGTATCAAATTTACAATTGTGTTAATGAACTCAAATTATTGGCTAGTAGCTTGAGCTACAACAGGAGCAAAACTTCTAGTCCAGAAGAATCTATAGTAAGATGGAAATTCTACCCTCTAATCCATTCTTCCCCTTTCCTCTCTTTTCCCTCTGTGGGATTCCCTAGACTTCCAGCTTCATGTAATTGTAGAAGTCAGACCAGCAGCAGAAGGGGGCTCCTCCAGATTCTCTTCTCCAAGCCCACAGCAGAAAGAAATGCAAATTAATATGGCCTAACCTTGTGCTTCAGTCTCACACCTCCTCCCTCCCCATTCTCTTAGCCCTGTGGAACTCTTTTTCCTCCGAGTTTCAAGGGCTGCTGTGTAGGAGAAGCACCTGGGAAAAGAGATCCTACAGAAGCTGCTGTGGGACCATGTACATAACAGAGGCAACAACATTTGCACTGTGTCTTCTGTAGATCTCCTGAAATCAGTGTAGCTTCACAGTCCTGCTAATGGAATGGATCCTTCCACACAACAAAGGGACAAGTCTGTCTCCCCAGATGAATAGGAAACTCCATAAGCTGAAATACTGGGGTTGGTCTCATCCTTGTCACCCTCATCCATTTCATCATGGGTTAGAATGTATGAACTGTGACAAGAGGCATGTAATGACCTCTTGTGGCATGTTTTATATGAATAAAGCCCAATGATCTTTGGAGATCTAACATCCACAATAGCAGATATGAACAAAAACAGACACATGGAAATTCTGCCAAGGACCTCTATATTCATATTTGTCTGCATTTGGGAGAAAACAAATGTCTCATTTTATGATAACACTCAATTCCATACTATTAGAAGTAAATGTTTTAAGTCAGCAGGTCCAGAAAACTTGCACCCAAAAGTTTTAAAAGCTCTGTCTGATGAGCTTGCTGTATCACTAATGTTGATTTTTCAGTAACTCTTGGAGCCCTAGGGAAATTCTAGAAGACTACAGGAAAGGTAATGTGCCAATTTTAAAAAATGGTAAATGGGTTAACCCATGTAATTATAGGCCGGTCAGCCTGATATTGATCCTGGTTAAGATAAGGGGCAGCTGGTAGCAGACTTGATTAATAACAAATGAAAGGAGGATAAAGTAATTAATGCAAATCAACAGGGGTTTATGGAAAATAGAGCTTGTCTAGCTAACTGAATATCTTTTCTTAGCTCTATACTACAGGTTGCACCTCTATAAACTGGGACTCTAGTCTGGCAACATCCGTGGTCCAGCATGACCACAGATGTTCCGGGATCAGAGAGACCTGGCTTGCTGTGGTGGGCAGGAGCCCTTCACAATGCAAGGGTGGGGGGGGGGAGAGCACGAGCCCATTGCGTGACTCAGCTGGATTGCCCAGGAGGAGGGAAGTTGGGAAGCTGCCTGGGGAGGGAGCTGGATGGAAGCAGGGAAGGCTGGTGCATGGCTCAGCTGGGCTGGGCCAGGGGAGGGCCAGGAACTGGAAAGCTCAGCACGCTGCTCAGCTGAACTGTGGGTAAGGGACAGGAGCTGGCAAGCCAGATGGGGCCAGCAACAGTGGGACCAGAAATGACCTCCCCTGGTCTATCAAAATCTCTCATCCAGGGCCAGTCAGGTTCCGTGGATGCTGGACCAGGGAGGTCCAACCATTTATATAAACTACAAGGAAGAAAACAAAATCATCACTGATAAAATTTGTAGAGGACACAAAATATGGCAAGGGGGTCACTAATGAAGAGGACAGGTCACTGCTACAGAGTGGTCAGGATTGTTTCGTTAACATGGTGTAAGCAACATGGTTGAATATGGGGAAGTGTAAATGTATATACATCTAGGATGCAAGCCATACTTACAGGATGGTGGAATCTATCCTGGTCAGCAGTGACTCTGAAAATTTTGGGGTCAGGGTGGATGATCAGGTGACCATTATCTCCCAGTGCGGTGCTGTGGACAAAAGAGCTAATGCAATCCTGTGATGAATAAACAGCAGAATCTCAAGTAGTTGCAGACAGGCTATGTTGCCACTGTATTTGGCACTGGTGTAACTACTGCTAGAATGCTGTGAGGGGTCTGGTAAATAGGAGAGGATTCAGAGAAGCACATAGATTGATTAAAGGGTGAGAAAATATGCCTCATACTTTGAGGTATGCCGAGGTTTTCTAGGGGATACATCAATTCATCTAGATATTTGCCTAGTTTTATAATAGGTTACATAAAAAGCACTTGTGAAGTCACTAAAATCTAAAACCATGATTTGTTTATACTGCTCTATATTGCTGTACACTGAAATGTAAGTACAATATTTATATTCCAATTGATGAATTTTATAATTCTATGATAAAAAGTCAGCAATTGTTCACTATTAGTGTACTGTGACACTTTTATATCTGCTTGTCTAAGCAAGTGGTTTTTAAGTGAGGTGAAACCTGAATACATGAGACAGATCTGACTCCTGAAAAGTGAACAGTAGTTTGGAAAGGTTGAGAACCACTAATTTTGAGGCATCCCTACAGTGTAGATGTGTTATTTTGAAATAAGCTATTTCAAAAAAACTACTCCGGAATAGCTTATTTTGAAATAGCCAAGCAGTGTAGATGTACCCTAAGGTGTCACAGGACTCCTCATTGTTTAATCCAGCTCAGTTATAACACAGTCCAAGGACTGGAAATTTTTAAGCTAGGCAAATACAGACTGGAAATATGGTGTAAATTTTTAACACTGAGGTTAATTAGCCACTCACTAGGACTCATGGCTGATTCTTCATCAGTAACAATCTTTACATCAGGACTGGATGTTGCTCTAAAAGATGTGCTTTAGGGAATGATTTTGTGGAAGTTCTGTGGTTGGTGCTCTATGGGATATCAGACTAGATGGTCCCCCTGGTGCCTTTTGGCATAGGGCTTTGAATAGCCTGTCCTTAAAACTGGCAATGCAGTGGCTTGATTCCTTCTAGACAATGATCCGTTACAGATACAGTACCCTCTGACCACAAATGATTGACAACAATAGCTGATGGTAGGACATAACATTTCACAACTAGTGCAAAGTTTATAATTACAAATAATGAACTAGGGGGAAAAAAGCCCCTTCCCCTTCTCAGCAGCACTCAGATCCCAAATATCAGTTACTCTAGTTTTTGTTTATCGGTGTGAATCATTTCACTTTGAAACAGGCTAACAGAGGGTGAAGTGCTGCAGTGAATGCTCCATGAACAGCGTTCTCAAAGGAGCTGTGCTAGAGCCAAGCATGCAGTTGTATTTACAGTGAGTCGTGCTTGGTTCCCCAGCTCAGTGCTGGGGGAGAACAAAGCCAGGCCCTCCCAATCTGGGCTCTAGTGGGAAGTGGAAAGTCCTGACTTGCTTCTCACATACCTCTTTCCACCTCCTCATACAAAGTCTGCAAGCATCTTCCACTTCCAAGGAATCCTTGCTCCCCATGTAGTCCCCTCAGCCTCTCCACATACAGTAGCCTGGCCATATGGAGCCTCAGTCTCCCCCATTGCCATCCCCTTTCCCTAGAGGAAAGAACACTGCCCCACAGATACCCCTTCCACTACTCCACAGCTAGCCTGGGGCAGACCCAGGAGTCCAACCTCCACAGACGCCCCTCCCCCACTCCACCCACTGCTGGGGTGGTCCCCAGAGGCAAACCCTTACAAACACCCTTGACCTCCATCACTCTCAAGGCCAGGACAGTCCCAGGAGTCCACTCCCCACTGCTGGGATAATCCCCAGAGTTACTCCCCCTAGAGACACCCTCCATCATAGGACACTCCCTGGAGCCCATCCCCCAACTCCTCTCCTGAAACCATCCTCCACAGGCACACCACCATTCACTGCTGGGACACTCCTGAGTCTGTCTCACATGGACACCCACTGTCCCTGGGCTAGGAGGATCCTAAGAGCACATCCCTCACAGACACCCCCTCCGTTGCCCCCAAAAACCCCCATCAGCTCAACAGCGCTGTTCAGCAGAGCTGCTGGGCAGCATGTCCCAGCGGCTGCTGCACACCACCACGCCGGGTGGGTAGTAGAGGAGGTCAGGCTGGGGAGGGGTGACGGCGGGCACCAGGGTGCGTAGTGCTGGCTCCTCGGGCTCGGGCTTGGTGGTGGCAGTGAAGGGCCGTGTGGCGGTGAGCGAGGGCGAGGCCAGGCGCCAAAGCAGGCGGCGTAGGGCGGCACGGAACTCGCGGCGGAGCAGGCAGTAGAGCAGAGGATTGAGGCAGGTGTTGCAGTGCGCCAGGCACACGCTGATGGGGAAGAGGTAGGCCTGCGAGAAGAAGTACTGTGGGCTGAAGTGCACCACGTTGAACTTGATGAGGACACTCCAGGCGGTGATCGCCTGGTTGGGAAGCCAGCAGAGGAAGAAGGAGAGCACCACCACTGTCACCGAGCGAGTCACCTTGGCCCGCCGCTTGGGCCCGCCACAGGCCCGGCCCGCGTGGCGCTCATCCAGGAAGCGCAGCAGCAGCAGGTAACAGAGGCTGATGACCGCCAACGGCACCACAAAACCTAGCAGCACCTTCTGGGCCTGGTAGAGGCCTAGCCAGAACTGGGTGCTGTTGCCACGGCCCTCGGGGAACTTGACAAGGCAGAGCTCCTCGTTGAAGACAGTGGCAGTGGTGGAGAAGAAAGCGTGAGGCAGGGCGGCCAGCATGGCAGCCCCCCAGATGAGGAGGCACAGCCATTTGGCCGAGCAGCACCCTGGGCCGCGCCGTTGGCTGCTCAGGGCGGAGGCCACCAAGTGGTAGCGGACCACGCTCATGGCGGTGAGGAAGAAGACGCTGGCGTACATGTTCATGGTGGTCACATAGCAGACGATCTTGCACATGGCCTTGCCGAAGAGCCAGGTGAAGTCCAGGGCGTTCTCCACCGCCCAGAAGGGCAGCGTCAGCACGAACTGGAAGTCGGTCAGCGCCAGGCTGGTCACGAAGAGGTTAATGGAGGATTTCTTCCAGCCCTGCTTGCTCTTCATGAGGTAGAGCACCAGCAGGTTGCCCACCAGCCCCACGGCGCACACCACCGAGTAGACGCTGGAGATGACGATGCGCAGGGCGGCCGAGACGTCCCCCTGCAGCCCCTCGGCTCGCTCTAGGGCGATGCCCCGGGAGGGCT